CTAAGTGAATATAAACAATTTTTACTGAGTGGATGGTACTTCTAGGAATAAGCCGTTATTTTAGAGAGCTCTGCGATTTCATGACAAAGGTATCAAAATGTACACTTCTCTAGATTCCCTTTTAAGCCGTGAAATAAACGCATTAGAAATATGATCATATTTTTGGACATGCATGTATTTTGCACCTTTTCGTATGTAACAATTATGCTTATCAATTTAGGAAACCATACACCATGTCCCATGTCACAATAGTTGAAAAGTGAAAGAAAAACTCGCATATAATAGTTGCATTGGCATTGGGTGTTTTTTGAATATTCACGAAAAAGCAGGTCACAGTCTAAAATTTCTTGCTGCATCGATAACAGAAACTCTAAATATTACATTGATATCCTGTTTCAATTAAGAGATTAACTCTACTTTTGTTTCCAAAGGTCATCAAATGAGATTTTGAGTAATCTGTTGGCTGTTTGACATGAATTTCAGTTCTTACTATTTGGTTTTTTTTATTATTGTTTTTTTGATATTATTTTTTTTAAATAAATATTTAATAGTGTTGCATGGAAAAGAATAAGGCTTTTCTGATTGTCCCATTTGTTTTTTTATTTCTGGAAATTTCGTTAAATGAAAAGCGAAATAAAGGAATGAATTTTGAGGAAATATTCTTTCATTTTTCATAAAAGTTTCATTATTTTAATTTTATTTTCAACTCTTGAAAATGTTTGATGTTTATTTTGGCATTGAAAAAACCCCAAAATGGTCAAACTGTTGAACAAACTAGGTTCATCTCTCTCTCTCCAGTATCAAATAATTTTTACAATTATTATAAACAAATAAACAATAAATTAGTATTATCTCCAAAAGTGATATATACGAAAATTTGCATCAATCATGCAACAAAACTTGACCTCATTTTACAAAAATAAATTCCTATTTAAAATTCGAAAATAATTTGAATTTGAGGAAATATGATTCTAACTCAATGCCAGAAATATAACAAAAATTGAAAATACAATTCCGCTGGCTTTTCTCATACATTATGATTTAAAAAAACTTTCTAAGATTTATTTATGACTGGCGAATAAATAATAGAACGCAGTTTCGAAAACTTAAAAATATCGGCGCACAACAATTAATTAAATTTAAAAATAAAATAAATTATTGCCGAAGGTTAATGGTTAATGCCGGATTAAACTATGGTAAGGTAATTTGAGCAAGTAAAATGCATAGAACTGCATATTTTTTCACTGGGCTTATTGGCATTTAAATAAATATTAATGAACTGTTACGCAATTGTGCATGTTTTTGAGTTCAAGTAAATAGTCTAATTTAATATTCCTACAATGAGAAAAAAAAAAGAATCGAGCTAGTTACATATTCCAATTCAAAGTTCGTGCTTTGACTAAGTTTGACAAATAAGGAAAATCAGGAACTGAGTAAGTTAAGGAGGCGTACCCTTGAGTCATGCATTCAGATTTACATACAAAAATTCATCCATATAGATTTTGCTGAGATTTTCAAAAAAAAAATCAATGTGCAATATTGCATCATTTCATCATATTTGAATAAATATTATCGACTACTAACGGCATAGTTAATACTTGGTTTGTTCAATTAAAATTTAATTATGACCACGTATGTATTATTATAAGTCTGAAAAAAACCGACCATATCTCAAACAGACTCGACCGAGTGTTAATTTCAAACGTAGACTGTAGAGTACTGCCGAGAACTCTCAACCCTCGATGGAGAAGTAACAACAGTACGATTTTCAATACAAGTGTTGGTCAGAAAAACTGCATAGCAACGCAGATGCCTAATTCAAGCGACTATATTCAGTTCAAGGCAAGCACTGCCTCAGAATTGATCAAAGTGGAAGAGTTCCTGTTAGAAGCATTCGATATGACAATGATCAAGAACGGAGTACCGAACAGCTCAGAAGATAGTGACATGAAATCATCTAAAGGAAGCGGAAAAAAAACCGGGAACGAGAAAATTGGTGGGATATGATTGATCCAGAAGCTACCTAGGATGGAGAATACTATTATTAGTAGCCTAGTATGTGGTTTGAAATTTTTTCTTTTTTTTTCTAAAACTTTTATTTTTGAGTCACACCTCCTTTAGGCTTGTGGATAAATGGGATGATCAACCTGATAAAACTGGTTCAGTGGAAATACCTATTATTAATTAATTATTATTGGCATAATTTTGGTATCTGTCTAAATATAGATACCAACAATTACAGTTAGGATTAAGATTGAGTACTATCCACCTGCCACCTGAAGAAGCTACATTTATAGCGAACAGCGTTCCGGTTTGTTTGTAAAATTAAACGTTGAAATATATGAGTTTTTTCATTCAAGGTCTTGAGTATTGAAACGTCTATCAATGTAACTGAACAGTTTCCAGGTCAGTATGTTTTTTTAAATTTTATGGGATCCAAAAAGTAAGTGGTCATAAACCATAAAATTGAGGTTTTGCGAAAAATTTGTTTTGCAAAACGTTGCCAGTTTCCTTATTGCCTGACCTTGATAAAAATCCCAGATACGCACTATGCCTCCTATCATCGGGATTTATCTGTATACCTAAGTATTGTATCAATAAATCTCTTTCTTATCTTGTAGATAAACGTAGTGTTTCTTTTCGCACGGAAAAAACCCAGCAAATGTTATTAGCTAAAAACAAATTAGGTACCTACTTTGTATGCCTGGTGGGCTATTGTACAAAATAATAAATTACAAAACATGTTTATTGTTTCATTCGCAGCAGATAAAATTTTAAGCTGATAATGCAGTGCGCAGTTTTTCAGTAAAAATAACCGGAATCGAAAACGTATTTCTAAGTAAATCAGACGGCGCATTAGGTATATTGATCTCAAGAAGATACAGCTATTTATAGATGAAGCCCTATCTTATACCATAATAAATTAATTAGGTTAAAATTGAAATTTATTTTTAGCAACATTATATAACTGCCAGCTAATTTATTTATCAATAAAATTATATTGTAACAATAAGTCAGGCGTGTGATGACGCCTGTTTACTGAGAACATAATATTTAATTAGACAGGATCAACAAACACAACTTGATAATGCTATGTTTATCAGCTGCTAACATTAAAAATTTCGTTTTCATACTCCGGGTTTTTGTTGGTGGTAGAAAAAAACAGGCTATCTTTCCTAAAGTCAAATATACAATCGTAAGCTACAGGAATGGCCTTATACCTAATTAGGCGAACTGCCTACTAAATTACCAGGCAATCTGATCGTCGATAACATTTAAAAAAATGAGAATATTCTAAGTAATAGTACTTTCCAGAGGCCTATCTACATTTATTTTATTATTGTTCAGCATTACGAAGGATATTTACCAGATGCGATAAGTAATTAGTGAAGCTCAAATGGATTCTAAGTGATAATGACATCTTAACCGTAAATTTTCATTAAAAACCCGTAAATAATAACAGTTTGTGACAAACCAACAGGTTTGAATAAGATTCAAGTTCTTAAAGGTCAATCTAAGAATATTCTTACTGAGTATTAGTATTATGAATAACTCTGGTTTTGTTATCGATATTTATGCAGAGAAAATTATGCAAGGAATGCATCATGTAATTCTTGTTCTGCAAGATTAATTGATATGCAACTTCTAGTTTCCGGTTTAATGCATTGTCTTTACGCCTATTGTATAGATTGTTCTCTCAAAGTTGTTGTGCCAAGAAAAAAAACCATAAGACAGCAAGGAAATAAACATATTATAATAAAAGATAAATACGGAATTAAATGAGATAGATACAATGAGACAAAGCCGAGGACAAAGCTTTTTTAAATAAAATCTACAAAGAATATTATGACATTAAGCCACCAACATATTTGCAGAGATTTTGGACACAATTAAATTTCGAAAGAGCCTTTAAAAATTAAATGGAAAGTTTTAAATTTTTTGAAAAATGTAATAAGTTTTAAAATCTGTTCGTGAACTCTGTAATCATGTGGCTCATCTTTTACATCATGGCTAATAGCAACTTTTTAATTTTTTTTCATATTTTCAATTTAGAAAATAATTACCAAAAAATAAATAAATTAAATATCTTCTGATAATATGGGTTTCTCGTTGCTTTTCAGGTGGCACTGATGATGGCTTAAGGCCAGAGCTTTAGACTGATCCTGAATAAATAATTTGCACAAAATACAAAATATTTAATTGAAACCGATTTCTCCTTGCAGAAATAACGGAACGCACAAACAGAAAAAAAACTTCTAAATCAGGAACAGCTCAACATGTATGTGACAAATCACACATACAAAAAGTGGTCTGAGGCAAAGATTATCGATAAAGAAATGTTGAAAAAATACAAAGTTCATATGGAGGGATCATACATGGAAGGACAGACAATATCTTTTGCAAACCACAGCCGAAATACCAAGGACTTGGGAACTTATGGATGTTATGTCTTCTAGACTAGAGGATAAAGTTCTTGAAAACTAGTTTATTATTATCATTAATTTCATTGTGATAGCTCACCAATAGCAATTTAAAGAAATCGAAGTTGTGGTAATGAGTTGCAGGAAATCTCCAGATCATTAACGACCTCCTCTTAGTATATGAACTCCAAGACTTAAGATTTTCATTAGGTTGATAACGACTGAAGATGAAAAACAGTCGAAACGATGCGACAATAAATCCAAAGGCAATGAAAGTTCATATTCAATGAAACATCACCTACCACTTTCAAAAAACCAATAAAAAACGTCCTCACCGTTTTGAGGTAAGACCACAGCTTGTAAGACCCACTTCACGATCAAGAAAAAGAAAGGTTTCAATAAAAGTTGATTAAGAAATTAAATTATGATGACACATCCAACGTTTCAAGGAAATATGTAAAATGCTGATTTTGAAAAAAAAAGTTCCAGCAATAACAAAACGAAACACCAACTACAGGAGTACCATCATCAGCCTACTGTAGTTTAATTATTTGCGTGGCTACAGAAAACAGTTCTTACCTTGGAAACAAGATGATACCATTGACGAGCCGGTACGCTTCTTCTTGCGGCGCTTCCTCTTAGCTTCTTCCTTGTGGCGGGCAATTTCCCTTGCACGTGTTTGGGCGTCCAGAGGTTCCCCTTGGTCACCACTGTCTGAGGCGCAGCTGCCATTGCCACCATTGCAGGCGCCACTCCCGCGACCCTCGATGCTGCTGCTCGAGTTGTTGTTACTGGTCAATGCAGCATCTGGAATCCGAAAAAAAAAATATTGATAAATTTTTCTGTTGACCCTGGTATAGACACTATTGTGTGTTACTGAAGCATATTATTGTCTGATTTCAGTGATGTATCATTAGGCGCCGGTTACACTGGATGTGAATTGGCACAAATTAGTCAAAATGAATATTTTATATAGGCGCGGTAGTCACGCCAGTCACGGTTGCTTACACAAACGTTCGCTTCAAATTCGATTAAAGATGTACGAGTTTCGAGAACGACCACATGATTTATGTTTTTGTTTTTCATAACTTCATCAATGGAACTTGTTTGGTAGATAGTTTGAAAAGATAAAATAAAAATATTGTGTTTTGTTTGAAGAAGCAAACATTTTAAGATAAATAATGTCAACTGTAAACGCGACAAATTAATTACCTTGGATAGATGATCTCTATGACTAAATAACTTTTTATAATGGTCAAGTGCAGAGCTGCAACCAAATGTAGGCCAACTTTCCAACCCCTTACGAAAGGTAGGTATATACAAAATAATCCGCATGTTGTTAAATTCACCAAAATGGTGCACCGCCACGGATGCGGTGATTAAAATTCACTAATGCCAATGCCAAACCATAGCTTGTCAAACCCTGTTTAATTCAACAACAGTGCTTGTTCTACCATTCCACCACTGTGCCTTCACCAGCTGAATTTAGCCACACGCGGAATATGACACAAGAGAGTGATGGAAATATGTTAATCCTGAAACTAAATCCACCCCATTGCCAAAATAAAGTTTTTTCTACATCCATTGCGAAGGTTATGGACAGGAGGTAATACTTTAGTCCTGAAAACGCTGTTGTATTTCCTTGATGAAACTGAAAGTGTTTTCGTCGTTGACTAATGCCGAGTAGTTGGATACACTTGGACTGGAGGACGCCTCCTCTGGTCGCAGTTGTTTTTGTCTCTACGTGATATTCATGGGAAGTGGTAAAGTTGAGTGTTGTCTCGAGCGCTTCAATGCGGGATAGTGCATCAGCAACAACGATATGAGTCCTAATAGCGAAATTGACCAGACAAATATTTGTTGGATTTCTTATGAAAAGGAAACATGATAAAGAGAGACCTCAGTAATCTTCACAAGGTCTGTTGGAAAGAATGGAAAGATGTTACACCCCACAAACTTTTTCATTGATTTACCTTGGGTATTTATTGCCAGGGCCGTATCTAGACCAAAATTTGGGGGGGGGGGGGGTTAGACAAAGTGGCAAAAAAAAAATTGTTACACTAGTAATAAAAATAAAAAAATAAATAAGTATTTAATAAGTGTTGTTTGTTTTTGAGTTAAATTTTTTGAATTTTATTATTTTTTGGGGCGGGGTTTGAACCCCCAAAACCCCCCCCCCCTAGATACGGCCCTGTTTATTGCCATTGCATTGCCTTGCTCGAAATTAAATTTCTATTATGCATATTGTTTGGTATCCTCCAACACAGCAGTCTAGGCATTTTAGAGCTTGAATTGCAATGATGCATACAACTGCTCCTTCAATACGACATCGTTCTTGTTCACGCGCTTTTATTCTCATTAATGCAAATTTTGACTAGTTTTTGCCGCACGTCAGCAGCCGCATTCGCAATATAAACACGTTTGGCCAGTTCAATTCTATTTTCTATGCGAAATTGTCTAGATACCTATACCTTGTTTACGATGAAACTGTTTACTGTGGCGTGCGTGAGTACACCGGGTTTTGTGCCTCGCCAACTGCGCCTTTACCCAACATTTTAAATGTATTGGTTCATAATAAATTTGTGTCCAACATATTACGCTCGATATTATGTATGATGTTAGATACTCAGACTCTGCATCAGGGCAATGGGCTTGTCTTGTTCATTCAACCATTGTAGTCGCCATCTGTAGCCCTAGCATTTACAATGCCATTATTACTTCAAAAGTGAACACATTCCTTGAATGAGTACGTTGTACTCTTAGTTGTGCCAAAAACTTCTTTTTTGGCTACTTCACTGCGAGCGCCTGCCGCCTCACATCAGCACAGAGTTAGCACTTGTGTGCTGGCTTAGTGTTTAAGCTAACAAACATTATCACCGATGACGCGATGAAACTAGAGTACTAAATTAGCACACATTTAGTGCTAATTTTAGACGTTAGTTTGGGTTAGTTCGGTTAGTTCGGGTTATTTTGGGTTAGTTTGGATTAGCTCTGTGCTGATGTGATACTAGTTCGTTTCAGATGTCGTCGTTTTTGAAGTACTAAATTAGCACTAAATATGAGCATGAGAATTCTGTTCTCGCGCGGTCAATTCGATGTATGTGTACTAATCGAAGTCTTCAGTTAGCAATTTTCCGTGGTTATTTCGTAATAAATACATCATTGTTAGATTTTTAGGCGTGCCATGAATGTACCAAATTAGCACTAAATATGAGGTTATAGATTTTCAAAGTTTCGACCTTATCCAATTAGAGTGTGCCAGCTTAATCTTAAGCTGGCACACATGCACGTAATTTTTTAAAAAATAGAGTTATAAATGATTTTTTTTCGTACTAAATTAGCACCAAATAGGCCCTATAGTACTCTAGTTTTTCTGATGTGTGCCATTTTCGTTGTGCTAATTTTTTAGACCTTTAAATGTATTACCTCGTATAATACATATTATGGTGGTTGCGTTTTCAGAGAGAGTCAATGTCATAAGCAAAATCGATCTGTATCTGAACTTGAGCCAGGATATTCTATTGGTGGGTACAATTTACTCAATAGGTATCACTTATGAAAGATATATTTACAGGTTCAGAAATGGGTTGACCAAACAACAAACAAACCAGAACCATCCCTGGAAAGTTTCTGGCTCCCTGACTTTATTTTGAAAATAATTTATTGTAACTGTCAAAATGGTTGAAGCGAACACGGCTGAAGGAAATCTAATAGGTATATTTTGTTCTTCTTTTTGCCCTGCCTGGTGTGGAGATTTGTGTGAAAATAGCAATCTGCATGAAGACACGTCTTGAATGTAGATAATTTCATTTTGATGTAAATTCTATTAGACTACTAGTTTCAAATTGTTTCGAGTTTGATATATTATTTTTATTTCAATTATCTTATAAGCAATGACAATTTTCGGTTATGTTCTTAGTTTTTTCCTGGGTTTTTTCATTGTTTTCCATTATTGAATTATTATAACATGATTTTTTATTACCAGTAGTAGGTATATAGTAGGTTTGTTCCAACCCGTCAAAAAACCGTCCCAGAACGGTTTCGGAACCACTCTGTATACAAATTATAAATACTAGACAAGTCAAACGACTTTGTATTAGGTATACGCTTTTTTTATTCATTTCCCTAATTATTAGTCGTGGCTAGCAAAATTAAATGTATGTTGTAGGATACATAAAAATAGATTGTTGAAAAAAGTGTGTCAGAGTCAGGTAATTTCATTTCCTTATATCTTGGTTGCCAAAAACCATTCAACACCACCATCAGTATTTTAATCTATATGTTAAAACACAAAAAAATTATTTTTAATTGTTACGTTTTTTATAATATATTTGGCTTTCAGGTCAGTTTTTAATGTGTTTTTATCTTTGGTGCCAATTTTCAGTTGTCCATTGGTTCAGTGGTTTTTTATTATATGGTATTTGAAACAATTTTTGGAGATTATTATGTTTCATTTGAGGGTATCCTTGCAGAAAAGTGTCACTTTTCTTAAGCACGATTTGAAATAAAAGAAACTTCAGAAATATTTTAAATTTATTTTAGGTCTGGGGTGGCTTTCCTGCAGGCTTCGAAAAAATCATGAATTAATAAGGAAAGTCAATGATTTTAATTTAAAAAAATAAACAAAAAATTGTGATTTTTGTCATGTGTGCAAAATGTGGTGTAGTGTGTATTAACTATTTTTCAAATGCAAACAATTAGAAACAATATTGTGCTGTTCTGACATACAAGGCACTCGTTTATTTCATTGTTGTTCATTGGGTTACTTCTAGGCCTGCTTCTAGGAGTCTTAGGACCACTTTCCTGGTCATTTCTGCTTTCAAACTCTGTTATTTTGCTTTATAAAATTATTGTTGTCTGTACAAGCGCCATAAGAGGAAGAATTTGAGGTAAGCTTCAATTTCTCGTTTGAGACCAATATTCGATTTTTTCTGGTATACTGGTAAGTCTATTCCTATTTTGTCCACCTCGCGTACTTTTAATAGTGTACCCCATTGACTTGTATATACGTCTGAACAATCTGACATAGGTACTATTCCATCTTGTGTCAAATTATACTACCTATAGGCGCAAGTGAAAGATTTTAACAATAATTATAATCTGCACGCAGGCTTATCAATATTTCATTAGTTTTTCTTGTTATGTAGGCACGCCAATGAACTAACTATAATTAACGCATTCTGACACATTCAGGCCCGGTTTATTCATCTTCAGATAAACTTGCTGGAAACTATCTGCAAGATAAATTCAACTTTCTATAATTCTATTGGTCGGCAGATAACTGGATTACATATTGCGTTTTTATCTGTCAGATGCATACCTGAAAGTTTTTCAGAAGATGAATAAGCCGGTCCTTAAGGTGTTTAAAAAATAGAGTATAGGTATCTGGACCCATGATTGATTCTGAAAACCCAATAAAATCATGAGAAGGGGTTTTCGAGGGGGTTTTATTGCACGGTCAAGGGCAATGTGGTTGGGATAGTTGATGCAACAAGGGCGACAACGGGGACATTTAGCATTTAACTGCTTTTCGAAGCACATATTATTGATTTTCCTAGGTTTCCAATCCAAAACTTATTATATTATAATGTGTGCATAAATAAATTAATAAAAGTGAAATTTAGTTAGAGTTTGATTACATTGAGTTTGATCCAATATTTTTCCTGCTACGCGCCTTCCTGCCAAATGAAAACTGAATTTGTAGGCAAAGCCTTGAGTTTTAAAAAATATAATATTATACAGGGTGTTTGGTACATCGATAGGAAGTTTTCAATGAGTGATAGTTTTGGAAGCTGTTTGACCATATT